GTTGCCAGCTAACCCACTGGTTCAATTACTCCCCCATTTGTAAAGTCCACTTTAAATCTCATCTGCACTCAGAAGTCTTCTTTGATTTTCCTCTACTATGAGGAATCTCTTCGTTAACTATTGGAACTAATTTGTAATGATTGCCCTACTTTTCTCTTTAAAAAAATGTTATGGGTAAAAGGCGTTAAATATGTGGTGACATTGAAGAATTAAAAAAAATACATTAAAAAAAGAAAACAAGACCCTTACATATGCTGCCTACAAGAAACTCACTTCAGATCGAAAGACACACACAGACTGAAAGTAAAGGAATGGAAAAAGGTGTTTAAAAAATGTTATTACTAGATGGAGGTCTTTACTTTAGATTGAAGGGAGAGACCAGTTTCCATCCGATAATCTCTTTCGCAGGTTTTCTCACTTGATGAGTACTGGATAAACATATATTAAATTCAATTGAGTAGATTAACTTTTTTGAGAGTTATTACGCATATTGGCTAAAAAGTCTCTTCAAAAGTATTCATTTCAAGCAAAGAGGACCCAGGAGGAAGTGTGTTCTTGTAGCCTACGTATAATATGGGATTTGCCCATTAACAAAGCCTAAGAGTCTCCAAATTAAATTATACTGCATCTGTGATAGTACCTTAAAACAATTGGCACATAAACAGTGGCAGTAGAACTGTCTGCTGTTCTTCGAAATTAATTTGCTTTCTCCTAGTTGTTTGCCTAGGAGAAACATGTAGCACATGATACCTTCCACCTCAGGCAATATGGTGTTTTCTTAAGGCTTATGCACTTATTTTGAGAAAATACTTTTATTCTCAGATGAAGTTGTGAATAACACAATTTTGGTGCTCTCGTGTGTTTGCAGATGATATGATTCATTTTTCCAATTAGAAATGGCAAAAACTCCTCTAGTCGCATTGGAGAGTAATATGACTTATTTAATGGTGTCAATAACATATTTTCTGGTTGTGATTAGTCTTTCAAAGCATCAGCAGTGTTGTACAGGGTCATGAACATGTTCTAGAATGCTCAGATATTTTTTTCAGAAAGTTAAGATTTGTAAGATACCATAAGCTTTATCCAGTCTGCTGTTAAGATAGCATTATAGTCCTCAATTTAGGAAAAGAGCAATAGACCCTCCCCCAAATACTTCTAGTTTCCTTCAGGTACTTCCTTTTAATGTGATTCCTCTAAATCAGGAGTTGACACTGTAAGGCCCGTGGACCAAATCTAGCCGGCCTCCTCTTTTTTAAATAAAGGTTTACTGGGATATAACCACACCTAATAGTGTTTGTATTGTGTATGGCTGCTTGGGCATATGGCCACCAAACCTAACATATTTACAACTGGCCCTTTGCAGAAAGAGCCTGCTGGCTTGCTTGAAATCCTTTATTAACTCATGTATATTTTCTGGTAGCCGTGGGATGATCCATAGCACTCAGGGGTCACTCATGGTTTCCCTGGAGCCCCTACCTTGCTAAGGCACCCCAGGTTTCCACTGCATCTGGTGCTCCTTTCTGCTTCTGTAGCCCTCTGTGCTTAATCTGTGTCTCCCACAGTTTGGTAGCTATCTGTTTCAAATCCTTTCTCCTGGAATGGGGCAACAGGAGAACTTCTGATTCTCCTTTGCCGTTTTGAGCACCCAGCATAGTGTCTATAGTTAACTGGCACTCACTATTCATTGAATGGACAAATTACATTTCCTAGTCACAGTATATAAAGCAGCATTTTTCTATATTTACTTTACCTGAGACTCTGAATGTTTTAGAAACCACTTCTTTCTTGTTATAAAAGTTTTTAAAAATGACTTACCTTCATAATTATGTTTCCTTGAGCTCATATGAAAAATTAGTTTATATTACAAATGAGTTTACACGTCTCCAGCTCTCATCCAACATTAATTTTAACTATGCTAGATTTTCAGGATAAACCTCTTTGAATTAAAAAAAAAAAAGGCTTATAGACTATCCCAATCTTATTAGATAATTGAAAAGTAAATGAATGTTGTCTCCATTTTATTAGTGTCTTAGTACTCAGAGGTGGCTGATATGAGGGTCTGGTTTATTATTTGTTCTTTCATTCCAGCAATACTTGTTAAGTGTCTCTGGTGTTATAGGTGGTGGTAAAATAGCAGTAAACACAACAAAGTTTTCACTCTTAAGGAGTTTACATTTTCATCTGGGTAGGTAGTAACCCACCAAGAAAATTACCAGCTATTGGCAAGGGCTATGGAAAGATTAAAATAAGATAATATAAAAGTGAGTAAGCAGGTAGCAGTTTAATCCTCCTAGCACTTAAATGTTCCTTTGAGAAAGTGGCATTGGAATCTAAATAATAAGAAAGAAGCAAATGTGAAGATCATGGGGAATTGAATTGTAGGCAGAACAAATAGCCAAGAAAAAGGCTCCAAATCTGAGAAGGAGCTTAGTGTGTTTGAGGAACAGAAAGAAAGCAAAAGTAGCATATATGTAATGTGCAAGAGAGAGGTGGAGAAAGAGGGGGTTCGGGAGGTAGTAGGAGTCAGTCAGGATGTAGCCCATGGTGGAGTTAAAGCAAGATTCTTTTCTATTCTGGTTTTAAAGGAACTGAAAGAAGATGATCGATCCCGATTTTCTGATTCCGATTGGTGCCTAGAATGGCATGAGAATGGTGTTAGATAGTGAATCTGCTGCTGGCCAGGTCATTTGCTCACACAGCACCCAGAACTCCAGACCCATCTATTTCCTCGTAGACTTGTGTGGAGCCTACCTGTGTGGCCACTTCCAGGTTCAGATGCCTGTTTGGCCATCCTCTGGGCCCCAACAAAACAAAGACAATGATCAATCACATTAAAACCTGCCCAAGTAAGCACCCTTGAAAATGATCTCTATTTTATCTTATTATTTACATAGAATTGTGTTTGTGTGCATGTGTGTGCATTATATGCAGATAAAATGACTTCTTAACAAAGGGTTGGGTTATATACAGAGAATATCTGTTAGAACAGTGATGCCTAAATGGGCAGGTGAAATATAGTCACCTAAATGAGAATGTGTTTATCCGTTTGTTCTGTGATACGTTGTATTACTATTATTAATGTTTAATTAAAGTAATAAATGTATGGGTGTATCACCCTGAGGTTATATGTAGTATAAAACATCTGACAGATTCAGACATTTCGATTTGATTTCATAAACATTTTGAAGCATTAAAATTGGGTCAAGCCAATCCTTAGCATTAGACAAGCAAAATAGACAGATAATACTGCAAGGTGATTTTATTAAAAAGTATCTTCCAGATGTCATTGATATTACTAAAGTTACATTAGATACAAAGATCATCAGATTTACTCCACAAGTGTTCACTGTAATCAATTGCTTAAATAAATGTTCTTTCCCCACCTGGTCATTGTATGTAGACATAGCCTACCATAGCAATTAAGAATATTGTTGGAAGTTTGAAAAGTTGTCATCTTGCTGTGGTTGGTGAAGTCAGGGCCTAAGGGAGGGTGTAAATTAAAGCACGGAGAACGAAGATGGGGAAAGGTCTCTTTCAACAAAGAAAAGCAACTCAGTGGGAGTAGAGACTGGCAATCTGCTAAAAGGAAATGAAAGGAAATTCTTCATTTTTAAACGGTTCATTGACCCATGATAATAAAGCAGCCCTGCCAAGGAAGGATAATTATCTTTTTAAGTATCAGATGCCCTGTGGGTGAAAGCCTCCCTTCTCCTCTCTTGAAAAATGAACTCAGATTAAACAAATGCTTCTTTTCCTAGTTTACCGTTGACATGAATTTCCTGATTATGAGCAAAATTAATCAGTTTTCCTTCTTTCTTTTTCCTCCCTTTCTGTTATGGAAATCAGGTCTGCCCAGCTGAGCTCAGTGCATTTCCCCTTGGGCCCTGAGTCCTACCAATAGTTTGATGGGCTAAAATGCTTGATATTCTGGTGAGACTAGCAATTGTAGAATGGTGGTTTTATTATGACCCTTAGCTGCTTAGCTTCAGGCAGAAGCATGTTCTCCTAAAACAAGAAAAAAGGAAAAAAGAAAGAGACAGTAAAGAACATTAGAGTGCTTTTTTCTCCTGCTGGCATCTAAAAATGAAACAAAAAATAAATCTCATGTGTGTGCATACGTGTATATATATATATATGTATCTACCCACACATATATAATGAGTTCAGAAAGAAAAAGGAATTGAAGTGTTATTGATGATGTAACATTGAATATTAATTTGCTACCAACAAATGATCAAATTTATATATCCTTTCTCTCTCTTGTTGTTTGTTTAGACCAATAATGTAAATACGTTGACCTGCCACACTTACAGAATGCATTAAGATAGTTTCATATGCAATAATAGGCAACCCTTTTCTTTATAATTTACCTTCAACTGCCTTCTTGAATTCTTAATGGTTAGTTTGAGGAACCCTGGTCATAAATCATTTAACCACATCGCATGCATTTTGATTGTAGATGAAGGTCTCTGTATGTTTTCAGAATGTCTACTCTTTTTAAAAATAAAATAAAACTACGATTGCATTTTCATTACATATTTCTCTAAAGAAATTTTGAAATTAAAGTTTTAATCATGATGCTCTACATAGAGAAACAAAGTGGATATTCCAGTTGCGTTTCCAGCCCAGTGTCACTGGCTACTTGAGAAGACAGCTTTAGAAGTCACAAAAGAATGGTCAAGAATAGATCTTGCCTCTTGGCATAGTTATCTCAGGCAGCACTTGAGTCTCTCAGAAGACTGTGCCCTTTCTCTTAAAAGAATTTCTTCAGTGCACTGCAGCTTCTCCTTCAAAGTATAATTAACCATGTTTGTAAGTTCTCTTTGAACTCCTTGGCGTTCGGTGATTGGAAAATATTTGTTTTTTTTTTTTTTTTTTTATTTATTAGTCTTTAAGAGTTCAGGCTCTGAGCCAAGGAGATTTAAGACTGTGGGCATAAACTTCTTGGTAAAAATACTACTCAAAGCAAGCAGATTGTCCCTTAACAGACCTCACTGAAGATGTCCTCGTGTGTCCTCTTCGTCCAGTGGAGCGCTTCCGAGATCTGCATCCCAATGAAGTGGCTGATTTGTTTCAGGCAACCCAGAGAGTCGGGACAGTGGTGGAGAAGCATTTCCAGGGAACTTCCCTTACCTTTGCCATGCAAGTGAGTGTACAGATGCTCAGAAATTATTTTTCTTTCTTTTCAAGTCCTAACATTGGGCTTCCTCCTCTCTTTTAACCTGCTATTTCACTGAGAAGCCAGCTGTGGTTGTTCTCATATAATAGCAGAAGAAGATGTTACTAATTCAGAACCATCCTGCTGTCATTGGCCCTGAGGTAGGTTGTGGAATGTCAACTGAAACAATGTCCACAATATTGTTTATAAAACAGGAGGGAGTAGTAGATAAGTAATTTAATGGGCATTACGACAGTCCAGATCTTTTACTAGAACTAAGGCTGGAAGGGTCATTTTCATTTCGTGGTAACTATGTTTTATACACCGCATGGGCTTAGCCCTGCTCCTGCAGTGGAGTAAAGATAAGCATGTTAGGTGTGGCCTTGCCCTCAGAGAGCAGACCTTTTCTCCATCTGTAAATCAAGCCTAGTAATTAATTACGAATTGGTCAGAAACTGGATTGTTTGAATATTTCGTGTGGCCTGCTTCCTCGTAAAGAAATGAGATGCCCCAATCACCCTCAGAGATCTTTAGACAGAGATTGAGCCAACACCTGTGAATGTGGGAGGAGGTGTTCTATGGTGGATCACGAGCTGTGGGAATCGAGTAAATCAACAGCAATATACCATGAGCCTCTCCAAGTGCCCCATGGAAAGAGCCGGGGGTATCAGTGCATACTGCAGTTCTTTGTGGCCTTGAAATTTGGTGTCTCTGCAATAACTCTTTGGAAAGAAATGAATCATTCCATAATATGAGACCTTGTACTCAGGGCTTTCGTTAAATTGATTATTTAACATCCTTCTTCCTCTCTACCAAAGATAACACATAAAGAAAGCCACTGTTTACAGGTTATGAAAGGCTCTGATTAAAAATGCTCATCTGCTTATCAAAAATTTTTTTTTGGCCACTCTGTGTTATAGTATCTGACTTCACTATAAAATCCTGTGTGTTTGTTGTGTGTGTGTGTGTTGTGTGTGTGTGTGTGTGTGTGTGTGTGTGTGTGTGTATTATATGTCAAATCATTTGAGTCACCTTCAGACTGGTAGTTAAGCTCAGGGTGGGTCTATTAAGCTTATGCCATAAATCATATTTCCAAAGAGACCAAATGAAGACAAGTAGGTGAGGACATCTGTCAGTGTTAATGAAATGCTAAAAGAAAATTCACATTTATAGAAAGTGGCTAGTGTTGGTTATCTAACATGATTCACTAGAAAGCTAATTGTGTAAATATAGGAAATGACCTGCGCTTTGAGTACTTTCATATATGCGGTGTTTTGAAACTTCTTTTAACTTTAACCCACAGTAAGATATATATTTATTTCACAATCATGTATACTCCCCACATATACATACGCAGATATAGGAAACCAATGTTTCACAAAACAATGTTTACACATTCTGTGCACTCCAATAGTTTTTGTTCTGTTATCTGATTTCTTTCATTTTTAGTGCTGATCACAACCCATTAACTTGACTTCCTGACCCACTTATGGGTTGTGTCTCCAAGTTTGAAAACCACTGCTTACACAATTCTGCTTGATACCGGCCCCACTGCAGAGCAAAAATTCTCACCTCATTAGTCTAGGTCATGGAGGCAGAAAGATTTGCTGAAAGTTTTAGAGTTCTAATTCAATTTTGGAATTTCTGATTGTAGAGACATTACTTGTTCTGCTTTCCCCAAAGCAGCTAAGCCCTTGCTTTGACTTTGTATTGTCTGGTGACCGGGTGAGTTTGCTCATTTTCAATAAGCAAATAGTTTTGTTGGGCTTCAGAAAGCTGAGAGAAGGAGCTAGAATGGGAAAAGGGCCCAGCTACAGAGCTCTGTCACCTTTCTCTCTCAAGGTCAGCACAGCCAGAGAGGGCACACTCTTAGGTGCTCATCCCGTATGAGATAACTCATATTCTTGCATAATGAATTACGTTCATCGCAGATTTCCTGAGTAGAGATTTAGAGTAGTCAGACATTAATTAAACCACATCTGATTTAAAGATAACCAAAAGGTGTGATACTTCACCTCCCTGAACATTTTCAGCTTTCCTTTAATGCAATTAAAACCATAGCTGAGAGCAAAGAGCATGAAAAGTAGCAAGGGGGTAGGCTCACTGGATAATTTATATCATTTTTATGCATAACTTCTCACTCTCAGGCGAAAATGGAGAACTGTCTGGTCCCACACATTTGAAGAGAATGGTTCCCAAGAGAATACTATAAATTAACACACAATGAAATTGGATCTAAATTATTAACAGGCGATATTTCTGAATAAGCAAGAGATACCAGCTATCTGTTCTCACCTCTGTGTTTTTTTTTTTTTCCTACTTCTAGGATGGCCCCGAAGCTGGACAGACTGTGAAGGTGAGTGCTTATTATGTGCATACAAATTAATAAGGGGCAATTATGAGAACTAATAAAAAATCACACTGAGTCATTTGCAGCACATTGCTGTTTCATTATGTTATCTTCGAGGTCAGAGAGACCCTCAGTGTTAGAGACATGAATCCTGACATTATAAACTCTGCCAAGCAATATGTTTCCCATTAGTTTACAAGACATTTACCATTTGTGATAAAATTATTATCGTGCAAATGCTAAACAGAAACTAAATCAAGGCGTCCTAAAGCAGAATCTGAAGTCAAAGGAGTTCATGTGAGGTGGTATGTAGGAAACAGCACTTAAGCCAAGTGTGAGTCTGTGGGTCCCATTTGAAGCCTAGGTGTCTTTGACACACCTTCCCACCCTTTACACATTCTCTGTTTGCATCATCGTTCTTGAGAGAAGGGCTCACGGCTGCGGTCCTTTCACTCCTCACCACGTGCTCCTGTTCGCCTTCTCTCCGTGCACACGCCTGCTTTTCCTCCCTTTGTACGTAATGCCAAATTCTAAACTAATGGAGTTAGTGGAGCTCAAAGATGGGTTTTTAAGTGTGCTAGAAAAGGGAAGGAGGATTTATTAGGATAGTCCTTGCTCCCCTAGTGAAGTAAAATAAAAAGACTAAAATGTTGGCTGATTTTGAAGCTAGGTTTCAGCCCCCGTCAGACAAGTGCAAATTCCTGTGCAGTTGGGTCCTATGCCTAAATCATTGAAAAGTCTACTGGCTTTTTCCTCTGGCATTAGAAATCAGAAGCAAGTAAACTTGGGGTGCTAATATTATACTTTGTGAAATAAGAGTTTATGGCTCTGACACCGGCTGTGAGTGGATAAGGTAATGGTTGGTATCAAGCAATACCAAATAAACATAGTTCTCTTTTGATCTTAGTTTGCAGCATGTGGCTTTAATGTTTACTTAGCTACTTTGAGGCTTTTAAAATAGAATCTCTAGGAAGTACTCTTGAGGAGCAAATGTCCTATAGGGTCTGTCACCACATTTCTCAACGATAAAACGGAGAGCTAGGTTTCTGATTGTTCCAGACATATGATGTGATAGGGCAGAGGGAACTCTCAGCTTTACTCCACCTCACTGTCCATCTAAATAGCCAAAGGCTAAAGAAAAGTGTAATAGGAACAGCTTCTTTTTGAAATTTTCTTGAAAAAAAGAGAACACGAACGTTTAAATTTGGTTACTATTTTTTAAAAAACTCAACATTTAAGTGTAAATTCCAACAACACCAGATTAGTTAGCTGCATTATGCAGTATCTATATGATGGAATTCCTTCAACCCGTGAAAGTGATGCGTAGAGGCGTAGTTAGTATCGGGGGAATGCGCAAACCAAATCAAGTAGAATGCACAGGTTGATAATATGCACATACTAAACATAGCTAATATTTATATGAATGTTTAGCTTATAGGATCTCAACATTTCATTTCAGAATTCTGAAAGGGACATTAAAATTATTTCCTGTACAAGTAGACTTTGAATTGAGACAGAAAGTAGATGAGCATTTGCCAGGGGCTAGAGAGAGAAGGGACCGGGGAGTGACTGCTAATGAGTAAGTGGTGATGTAAAGGTTGTAGAATCAGATAGAGGTGATGGTTGTACAACTTTGTGAATATTTGAAGGCTGCCGAATTACACACCTTAAAGTGGTAAATTTTATGGTATTTAGATTATATCTCAATTTGGATTATATCTCTATCTGGCCAAAATTTTTAATGGTTTTGTTACTGTCAATGGTGAGAATAGAGTAATTCTTAGCATACAGTACTATTATATGAATTTTGGAATATGGTTATTATCATCGTCACCATTCTTATTTAGCTTGTTGTTTTTTATTTTTTGTTTTTTTACCAGTAGATTATACTGTTTTGGGCATCTTTCAACTGTTTCCAACCTGATCACAGAATATTCCCTAGATGAGTTAGTGGGGCCATCTCAAGTTCTTTGTGATGGTTAAAAGAAAACAATCATACAAATACATATAAAAACCTCAATGGATGGCAAAGGTATGAAAACTGTCCTTTTAGGCCAAGACTACAAATCTAAAATTATCTAATCTATGTTTTTCCAAGTATGATTCTCATACTCCCTATGTGAAAATTGATTTTGGTGTTAGTTTAAAAAAGTCGTTGATTATCCGTTCTTATTCTACTGATTTAGAACCTTTGTGGTTAGGGCTTGGGGGACTTCACTGTTAACAAGCACACCCCATGACTTTAGATATTTTTCAGAGTGTAGATAGGTACTGGGCTTGCTGTTTTATGGTGATAACATAGTAGGTGGTAATGACCACATAAACTTGACCCGTGGAAGCCAGTTTTATAGCCAGCCCCTCCTGGGAGCAAAGCAGTATCTCCAACAGTCAATTGTTCAGTTCTGAAAACTGCACTTCAAGACTGAGCACTTAATATTTTGAAATCCATACAGTTGTACATTTCAAGTCAGCATTTGATAGCCTGCCATGGAAAACACAGTGCCTGTTTTCATCTTTGCCTCTGTGCCTTACTCTTGGTATTCCGTGTGATGCCAGAGTTCTAAACCATTTTTGTTTTGGGCTAGGTGGTATTAGCAACAGACCCAGTAATGTTATCTTCCTCTGAAGCTACTGTTGTTCTTGTTAGTGACTCTGCGCTACTGTGCTCATTTCACGAACATGGGACCACTTTAGTTTTTTGTTGTTGTTGTTTCATGGGCTTTAAATTCTGCTTTACAAAGAAACAAGGGTGGCCTCGCTCTCTAAGTCATTTGTAGCAGGAAAGAGAAATATCAAAGTAAAAAAATGACCTCTTGTTTTTTAATTGAATATTAACTCTCCTTTTGAGTTTAAAAATAGTAGAGCGCTGTTCTCCACTAGGTGATTACTGCAATGATTTGGACGCCCTGCCAGATTGGGAAACAATCTCTTTCTTCTGGTCTCAGCCATGTATCTCTATGTGCATATACGTATCGCCATATCATGAATAATCATAGATGGCTATAGTTATCAGTGTTCCCTGACAACCCCACCCTATCTGAAGTAGCCCTCCTAAACTGCTTACTCCCTGTCCTGTCGCCTTACTTGGTTTCATTCAAGACATTCTTCATCGACTTTGTTTGTGTGTTTGTTTTTCTTCCCCTATGTATGTTGTCTCTTTAGTCCTTCCAGAATGTGAACTTCATGAAGACCCGCATTTTGTCATTGTTTACTTTGGCTCCCTTGAGAAGTATGGGGAGGAGAATGGAAATGATGATGGCACTTCATTTGAGAGAACAAATCTCTGCTTTTGAGTTTTTAACTTCAGTTGACATGAAGTAGCAGATGATATAAACTTGTATTCCAGTGTGCAGTCAGGGGTCTGGGTTTCCTGGAGTTTCTATCAAGAATCTCCCATATTTCAGGTGTCGCTGACAAAGACCAAAATTTTCTCTATTCGGGTACCAAAATCAAACTCCAAAATGTAATTCCATCTAGCCAAAACATTAAGGCAATGTTTGGTCCTTTAAAAGAGATGCTGCTTCATAAGTTTAATTTGAGCTATCTTTTAGAACAATTACTATGTATATCTTTGGGCGGGAGGGTGTTTTAAGTATGTTAAAGAGAGAGATTTTTGGCAATCTAGAATCTCATAAGAGCTATTTTTAGAATATGATTGCTTACACTCTTCTGTGTTTATGGTGCTCGAATCCTCTACTTAGATATTTAATTTTATAGTATTAATGCAGTGGGAAGTGTTTCTTAATAACTGTTGAGATATTAGCAATTACTTTTCAGATCACTTAGAGAAGAACAAGAAAAGGAATTCTTTAAAGAAGAGTGATTTAAAACTTAAAAAACAAACAAACTCATTTCCTAAGGAGTCTCTGTGGTCCTAAAACAGATTTTCCATACAGTGATCTGTTAATCTTTTTAATTCATGAACATGGAGGACATTTTAGCTCTTCATAAAGTCCAGTTATTGATATATTTTGGCATCAGTCAAAAAGTTCCATAGGGATATTAGCTCTACTAAATTACTAGCTGTGTGACTTTAGGCCAGCCTCTTAACCTCTCTGAACATCCATTTCCACATTTTTCAAATGGGGAAAACCCTATCTATTGTACTGAATGATGGTGTGGAGAAACTGACATGAATAGAGATGGCCCAGTCTACCACATACTGTGCTTCTGGGACCTTATGCATATTTCTTCATCTTAATCTTACCTTCAGTTTTCTCATAGGCTAAGCCTGAGTTTTGGGAAACTGAACCTGGAATTGAAATTGTCTATAGCCCTGATGAGTTCACTTAATTATTATACAATGAATTCTCTCACTACTGATTATTGCCTTTAAGCTTAAATTCTTGAGAAAACTTTCTTCTGATCATATGAATTCTGCTATTTGAATATGTAGCTTTAACTTGTTATAAAAGTGACCACTTGAACATTCAGAAATCTGCCTTATTAATTGGGGGTAAGGAATGAGATCTCTACCCTGGTATTTTTAGCCTCTGCTATTACCCTTAGGTGGTAATGAGTAAGTCATGGTTCTGAGCCAACAGTGTGCTTAACAATTACTTGAAGTAGGTTTTCACAGAACAGAAACCTGCCTGCCTCCTATGATGATTCAGTAGGTCTGCTGTGGGAGCCAGGACTCTGCATTTTAAGAGACATCACAAGTGATTCCCATGTACACATCACTCCAGTGCAAAGTCACTTACCAAAGAAATGACAAGAAGATGTGGAATAATCTCCACATAGCTGCTTGCTTTCAACCCAAAGGAATTCCTAAAATGTGTGTATAGAAAGGAGAAACCAACATCTTAAGAGTAAAAATGATTCTACTTGATTGTTATTTATTAATTTCATCTAGAGAAATTTCAGGAGAACAGTAATTTACCAGACAACTTTTATCCTTTGATTAAAGCCACGGTGAAAAGTGCTTTGCCTATGTTTATACCTAATACATGTATTTACTGCCAGAAGAATTAGTAACTTCAGGATGAAGTAGCTTTTATCTTGTG